CTATATACGTCTTACAATAACATCGTTCCACAGTTTTTTTAATGAAATTAGAGTATGTACATGTTAACATGTTCGTGTGGTTAGTTCATTCATTTGTTGGTGTGTTCCCATGTTCATATCATTATATCAGCAGGTGTTCCTATTCTTGCAATATCAGAACATGAACCGGAGTACGCCGTCGAGGAGTCTTCTCAAGGAAATCAGTTTTTTATCCCCAAGGTTGATGACGATATTAAACCAAATATCAACTCACAATTCTTAACTATAAATGAAGCGGAGAAGATGTATAGGGCATACGCGAACAATGCTGGATTTGATGTTCGGCTGCATGCCAAAAAAACAAACAAGAATGGAGACATACAAACAAGATGGTTTGTATGTAATAGGGAGGGAACACCATACAAACAGTTTTTTGATTCGATGGATATGCAGTCTGGTGAAAGGAGATATCGTAACACGAACCTTAAACGTTGTGGATGTTTAGCATGCATAAAAGTCCATTTGAAAAAGGATAAATCCGGTTATGAGATATATGAGTTTGTCGAGGCACATAATCATGCGCTATTCAATACTAACGATCGACGTTTCTCAAGGAAAAATAGACAAATGAAGTATACGGATTACAAAAATGTCTTGAATAGCTCAAGCTACAAAGTTGGTGCGATTAGGGCTCACCGTATACAAACTGCATTAAATGGTGGTTTTGAGCACAATCGATGTTCTGAGATCGACTTTAAGAATTTCAAGAGAGATGCAGTTGCGTGTGTTGATAAAAAGGATGCAAAGATGTTGATCAATAAACTATCCAATAGACGAGATRTTGTTCCCGATTATTTTTTCGAGTACAAGTGCAATGATCAGGAGTTGGGTGCCATTTTCTGGGCAGATGAGGTCGCTAGACTTAACTACAGAGAATTTGGGGATGTAATTTCGTTTGACGGGACATTTCGCACCAACAAGTAAGATTTTCAAGTTGAATCTGTTTCTTTTATGTATGGTACTGGTCAGTTTTTTATAATATTTTATTTTACCTAATAGGCATGCGATGATTTTTGTTCCCTTTTTGGCGGTTGACAATCACAAAGCTTCGGTTGTTGTCGGATCGGCGTTAATAAGTGGTGAGACAATTGAGAACTTTACATGGGTTCTAAGAGCTTTCCTAAAATGCCATGAGAAGCAACCAGTTTTTGTGATTACGGATCAGTGTTCGGCGATGAAGCAAGCCGTCCCGTTGGTGTTTACGGAAGCTAAGCACCGACTATGTATGTGGCACATCATGAAGAAAGTGCCTTCTAAGGTAATTACACTTTAATAAACAACTCTATTTCATAAGTAAACGTCCATGTTCATAGGTTCATATTGTGATTGATACGTCTGCAGATCAGTGTCGCCTTAAATCAAGATCCTCTGTTTAATAAGATTATTAACAAGCTCGTGTGGAACGTAAATATTGGACCATCAGAATTCGAGACCCAATGGCAAGAGATGATTGAGCAATACAATTTAGGTGGTGATCCGTGGTTCACAGAAATGTATGAAATACGCGCATCATGGATTCCGGCGTTTTATAAGGACACACCGATGTCTGGTCTTATGARAACGACATCAAGATCCGAGAGTTCKAATTCGTATATTAACATATACGAATCATACTGGTTTGATTTGGTTCAGTTCCTCAACAATTATGACTTTGCTATAGAGAAACAAAGGTACAAGCAAGCTGGGCATGAAACAATAACGAGGACAACGAAYCCAAAGTTGTGTACTCCATTGCGCTTAGAAAGTCAAGCATCAAGGGTATACAGTCGRAATGTCTTCTTTGACATCCAAAAGGAAATAAAGAAGGCTGTATGGTCTTGTAGTATAGAGACTGGCGAATGTCGGGGTGATCT